TTCTTATCCCCAGTGGAATTATTCTATCCAAAAATACTCAACGCTTACCTCTTATTCATAATGAATATTCTCGAATAGGCAGATCACGTGGTTTTAATTGTTTTTGCATGTTTTGACTGAGAGAATTGAGTTACAATAATTCATCTCTTCTTATACTGAAGGACTTCACATATTTTTTAATTGTTTACGAAAAAAAAACTGAACTCCATAATAATAAATTGGACAGCTTATGAAAAGTTTAAGCGAATAGAGAATCTATTTATTTAGAAACAGGTCTTATAGAATTTTTTTTAGACAATTTTTTAGTTGCCTATTGTCTCCTCTCATTCATTTTATCTCTTATATATCTCTTATATATAAGCAAGGAAATCGCGAAATTTGAAAAATTACATCGTTTTTATTTCATTTATGGCTTTATAGTATTTTATTTATTTGTTATCAATAATATTGTTTCACACAATAATTGTTTAAATTATGGCTGGTATGCTGCTTCATCTCAGGTAAGTATTATACGTTCGATCTCTTGACGAGAAATCCGTCCATATAAGTCCGCCCAACATATATATGCTTGTAATCAAATGAACCTTTGCTATGCAGTCCTACTCTAGCCAATGAGAAAATAATAAATGCGAAGGATAGAAGGATAGAAGAAGCTTTCAGGGATATGACCAATTTTTTAAAAATTTTTCAACGGAAAAATCAGCAATTATACCCAATCGAAATTAATGAGCTATTATTAACTACCTTTTAATGATTGCAATTATCAAAGAAACAGAATAACCGAGTGTTTTGTAGATTATCGATATGTTTGTTTTTTTGAGTCCGGGTCCTCCATCTGGCAAGAATAATTCTTTTCTCATCTTTTTTTAACAGAATACTGATTTGCCTAGCTTCATTCACTATTAAAATGACATGTAAGTAGGCGCATGGAGACAAAAAAAATGCGAATCCCAAGCTCTACCCCGATTTCATTTTTAATAATGATAGATTTCAAAGAAGAGGAATCTATGGTGGTTTGAATTTAGCTGAGGCAACATATCATTCGATCTCCCGAAATGTTTGCTAATCATCCAATATATTCTTCCATATAATATAAATAATTCGATTAAAATTTTCATTAATTCAGCGTGAGAATTTGAAATTAGAACTTCGTTTTATATATGAATATTATTTGTATAATTAAGATTTGTCATAAACGAATAAATAAATGCTAGAAAATATAGGAAGAGCTCAATTTAAGAATCTGAATAATTAAAAATGTATTCTTAACAAACTTTCTAAAGTTTAAAAAGCTCGAAGAAAATTTAATAATACAAAGATAGAGATAAGTACGAACTATCAGAATTTCGTTCATATAAAATCAAAAAAATTCGATTAAGTTAGAAATTAAGTTAAAATTCGATTAAGTTATTAGGTTTTATTTGTCGTTTTGCTGGATTTATTTTAAAAACTCTTTTTTCATGCTAAACTGCATTCCTCACTGTCTTTCATTCTTGAGCAATAAAAGGTTCATGCTTTAATCTTAATTTCTTCAAATATATCAGAAATTCTACCATAATTTACACGTCACTTATGTCAATGGAAGATTTAAAAGATGATTTACCATTTCTTGTAGCTTTGAATTTCTTAACTGGAAGTATAATAATATTAAACGATATTAAATTGGAATTACTCGCTTTCTCATGCATTAGGACCAATAATACGTGAAAAGATCTTTCGTTTCATTTTATGTGATTAAATATGGATAAGTATATTGCTTCGACTGAGGTAGAGTATTTGTCCCTTAAAAATGGAATTCGACTAGGAGACTCATTTGTACTCTCGCTCCTTTAATCTTTAACGGACCAGACAAATCACAGATGGTCACAAGAAGAAGATTAAATATTTTATAAAAAAATTTAAAAATTTAAAAAAAGCATAAAAAACAAAATAACGGATAACGGCTTTGAACGGTAATATCATGTAATATAAGCAAGTGAAGCACTCGTTGAAATAAAATTTGAACCTCTTGAACGATATTCTCTTCACACTCTCCAGAGTTCCACGCCAAATGAATCGCATATGCTAATTAAATTTCCATGGAACTCTTCAAGTTTTTTTGAAATCTCGCGATATTTTCCTATTATTATTTCTTAAATGCCCAAAACGAATCGATTTTTTTGTTTTACTTTTTTTATATTGCTACGTTAGTTGCTAATCGTGAAAGATTAAAGATTTTTTAAAATATTTTTGATCCAAATGTCCTTTTGCTGATAACAAGTTAAGCTAAATGGCATTATTTCTAAGATCGCGATACCTATTTTAGTGGAACAAGTGATCAAGTGATGTTACTTTTATGTTACTTTTGCCCTGTCAGTCTCTCGTAAGAAACTTTCCAGCATTATCCAAAATCGCTTAATTAATTATAAGAAAATAAATCAATTATTTTGTGTTATGGCAAACATGCTTTAAGTGGAGGAAGTGAAATGGGTTTGAACCTTATTCTCTCATTGTAGAATTGTGTGACCTTGTCAATTTTTTCATTCAATTCAATTTTTATATTTCAGATATTTTATATTTTTTATATTTTATATTACTTTGTCGTCATTGTACTTTAATAACCTATATTTTAATTCTATACTCATCATTCACTCATTCACCATTTTTGGTTGGCCCCACGAATAAAAACCTTTTTCCCATCGAGTTGCTTATGAATAAAAGTACCGTTCAACCGTTCGATACAATATGCAATATGGGTTGTTAATGATGGATTTAATCCACTCAAGAGAAACTTATCGAACTTGTGATGGTTTGATTTTGATTTAAATAACATACCACACATACCACTTGATCAGCCTGCCTCCGTATGCTTTAATTATATTCTCTAAATAAAAATATTTCGTGAAATTTATGCCATTGCTTTTTGACGTTTTTTGTTTCTTTATAGCGAGATTAATCAAGTACGAACCAATATGATTAAAAAATAATTTTAATATGCGAATTTTCAGCAAAAAAATCTATTATCTAAAAAAACATTCAGCGATACGAAAGATAATTACACTGATCACAATGGGATATCAATAGCTCATATATGACAGAGTAAACGATATAATTTTAACGATATAATTATAGCTCAGCTAGAACGAAGGAAGATTTGGCAATTTAATATTATAATTGCGATATTGTGAAGTACTTTAAAACGTCCGTAGTTCTATTCACTAAATGTCTCTTTGACGAAGGATTTTATTGAAGGGGTGATTAGTTTTTAAATTTTTATTCGAAAGATTTATTCACGATAATTAAACGATAATTATTTTGCTGAAACCTTGCCAAATTTAGAAAATTTTATTCTATTAAATTTTATTCTTGTTCACTTTTCTTGTAGACGAGGTTTTTTGCACGGATTTTGATTTAAATAGTTATAAAACAAAGGCTCGCTAGTCCACGTCTATATAGTTGCAGTTCCCTCGATTTTACCATATGGCTGCAAGACATGGCCGATAAAAGTGGGAGATATTGAAAAGTTATCTTCCTTTGACCACTCAAATCTAAGGTATATTTTGCGGATCGGCCGTGAGGACAATATCACATATGATTACATCCACTTTACCAAATACCACTTCCACTGTGATGGGTGTGGTCAAAAGTGAGATGGACCTGGACTGACGCAGTCTGCAAAGATTTTGAATGATGGACCAGCAATATATAGACTTTTTTTTTAAAGAGCCCCCACCATTATTGGTTATATTGACTTGTTCCGCTGACTTATCGCATTGGGCAAATATACCAAGAGTCTTTTGGCGATAGAAATATTGGTGAGTCGCCGGCATCACTGGGTTTTTTTAGACAGGGTTTCTCCTGCGGGGAGTAGAACTTCAGCATTGGTGCCCTGAATTGAGCAACAACCCACTGATCCATTCTACTCTTCAATATATGGATTTAAACGAGGGAAGAATGGTTACTGTCGGCATCAGATCGAATTGGGAAATTGGAGATGCCTTACCATTGTAGTCTGCCTAACCAGTAATGGTGAAATCTGTTAGAAGAAGAACAACAACAAAGGCTACTGTCATTTAATTCATACAATAATTAAAATAAAACGCAAATATTTTAAAACATTTAATCTATTTGTTCTTATTTCAAATCATCTTTGATTCGGCAGGTTCTACTTACTATTACGACGTGAACCCTTCGTTTATAAAGGGCCTTGCAAATAGAACGGTTGCACCTTCAGCAGCACCCAGATTTCCATTAATGATTATTTTATTCCCATCAAGCGACATGAGTCGAAACAGTGATATTTGTCCTTGGTCGATGCAACATATATTTTAGCCCATAATTAATAGTTATCTATTTGCTTTTTTTGATTTTTACTTACACTTCCTTTTGTTCTATCACAAAAAAATAAGCTTTAAAGCTAATTATTTAATTATTTTGTGCTTCAGTTAGAGCGCATAATCTTTGATCATATATTTTTTTCCTAATTTTTTTTCTCATTGCAGTACCAGAAAATGATATATATGAGAAAACTAAACCCATTAGTCATAATGAATTAATTTAATGGATTAATTTTTTCTATGCTGTTTTTTCCATTTGCCTTTTTCTTTATTCTCTTTTTAAAGGTTATTCCTTCAAAAGAAAAATAAATTAGTTTGTTTTGATTTCAAACGTCATGGTTTGGATTTAAGCTGTTCGACAAAACCTTATCCAAGTAGCTTAAATCCGGATAGCACCGAAGATTCAGATTTTTATACTCAGGCGAATGGCTCACTTATGATAGAATTTCATCCTGGTCATCAATGGAACCACGTAAACCAGAAATGATGAATGCTGTTGGAATTGATCCCCTAATAAGTTCCCCTATAAACATGAGATTTTCTTAAGGAATATAAAGTTAATATAAATTATATTAATATTAATATATATTAATAAGTTATTTTTCTGCAGCAGCTAAATAAATCATTTGGAGTTGACTTTTCGTTAAATTTGATTTACTAAGTGGAGTTACTTGATTTTTCAGAATGGAAACTGGTTACGCAATTACACAAAATATTTATATGGCGATGTCAGCGGCGATATCGGTAGTACCTCATCGCAGTTCACGTACTTTATCAGATTTCTCGGACATTGCCCATTTAACAGTCGCCTTTCACGGAATGCGATTAAGCGATAAACAAAAACTATGGATTAAGGTTTATGCAAAATTTTTTAAGAATTTCATGAACAATGCAAATAATGAGTTGAAAGGAGTTTGTTTACGATTATTGTTGTTATAATCCTTTTTAAAGAGCACTTACTAATTTGGCTATTTAAAATCGTTATTAGGTCTTTCTTTGCTAAGGAGATATTTGCGAATTGAAGTACGTGTAAGAACACTTGGATTCCACTTTTAATTTACTCAGGTAGGAATCGAATTTTGGTTATGTTGATTTGTTTGGGCAACTTATCCCGTTGACCAGATTTCTTTTTAATCGTTTCTCTCTAATTTTAAAGGCTTCGATCATAAAGGAAAGGAAATTCTTTCGTATTAATTAAATGGATTTCGAAACAAAATAGAAATTTATTTTTTTCTTCTACCATTAACTGGTAATGGTCGATGCTCAAATGAATCGAAAATAGGAATTTCAAGGAAAAATAACTCAGATACTTTAGTTAATCGATGAGAGATTTTCATTTTCACATAATATATAATATATAATAAATATCTTTGATGATTCAAATAGAAAATTTTCTTTTTTTACATTCTATATTTTGCAATAAACTAATTCAGCAAATAAATGAGAAATGAATGATGAAATTTTTTCTATTTTTTCGTAATAAAATAAGTCATATTCAAGTCATTTTCTCGAGTCATTTTCCTCACTTTTCCTGTTTTTATTCTATCATCCCACTATTATCCTATTTGGTTCTCTGACTTCGAGAAGAGATTTCATTGTAAGAATTTTAGTAATTCTCATTCTAACAAAAACCAATGGAGACAGCCAAACTAAAAATGATGAGTACCTATTGGAAGAAGAAAAAAATTGTTTATAATCTACACATGCCTATGACAAGTTATTAAAATTCATCAACCGTTTTATACTATATGTAATGACCATCCAATTCCTTGATTTATATTAAATGGACTGGGTCCAATTTTCTATTCTTTGATTTGATTCCATCATTAATTTTTTTTCGTCAGCGGTGAATAAATCTTTTAGCTTTTAGCTTGGTTATAAAAAATGGCGAAGTAAATCAAAAATGGTTCCCGGCGAATGGGTGCATGCTTATGCCATAAAGAAATATCCAACAATGAAAGCATTGTTCAAAAAACATGAAAATTTAGCTCGAGTATATACGCAAACAATCACAAAAATCATTGAAATGGCCGTTGAGAGCGTTGACTCATTAGGTTTTCATACACTTTTATGTATTCTCATAATTTTAGAAATAATGAGCCAAAAAAAGCAAAAAATTTGATCTTTTACTAGCACTTTTATTAGATTTAATTATAAGAACAATCTAATCAAATCAAATTTAGATGACTCTCTCGGACCATTGTTAATTAGCTATGCGAGCGAAAACGGAATTCTGGAAGAACGTGGTATGGCTTCGATTTTTGTTGCTATTGCTTAATCTTGGATCATTCACTCCACTCCACTCCACTCCACTCGAACCTTACTAATCCTATTTATTCATCAATTAATATTCATCTCAAACTAGTGAAAAAAAATTATTTAATGAGAAATATAATTAATTGAACCAATTAATTTTTACTGAAAAGCCAACGAAATCAACTATGTACCGATTTTCATCTCAGACAATAAGAAACGACAAATTATTGCTTTTTTTAGAAGGTTTTGATCGACGATTTTGGGGATATGTGGCTGAAGCTTTATGTGCGCTCTCACGTGATTTCCCATTGAAGAGACATAAATGGGATACAATCTCTGCATGGCGAATTATTGTTCTTTTTATAGTGAAAAAATTAGAGTATGGGTTTCAGCTTGGAATAAATTCAATGAAGAGTGATCAATCATTTGATAATCCTTGTTATAAAGTATAAAATTAAAACTTTACGGGTCAATTTTGATTGATTCTTTTTATAGTTTTTTCATTTTTTTCGAAATTATCTTATTAGCTCGATAAATTGTGTCGATCTGTATACGATTTTACACATGAAATTAAAAGCAAAATCAGTAAATGGTTAGTTCTAACCATTGGCTTCACAAACATTAGTGGGCTGAGAAATATTCTAAAGAAACGTGAGAATTATTTTATTCTGGCTGAAAATTCATAAGCCATTCTCGAAATAATTTAAACCAGTGGTTTTCAATGTTCTCTATCTCACTGCCTCCCTTGCGAGATTTGCTCGTCTCTGTAATATGCCTTATCCAGAAAATATATTCTTAATAATTTTTTATAGAGAACAAATAAGTAGAAATTTAAAAAATTCCTAAATTTTTTGTTTTTTAATGGAACATTCTTTTCCATGTGCAATATATCACTTAATCTATCTTTTGGCAAATTGTTCGTCATTTGGAAACTTCATATAGAGGGGCTTCATTAAAGCTTATTTGTAGAAAGAACTGTTTGACTTGTGAATATTCAACTAATTATTCTTCCATGGCAATGTTCATTTCATCTATGTACCAGAATACTAATGAATTACTCAATGGAAGATTTTTTGTCGATTTTTGGTTCATCATTCTTCTAACAGCTCTCACCATTACTGATTAGGCTGGCTCCAAGGGCTACAAGGGTAAGACGTCTCCAAGCTGCTCGTCCCATGCCATCGCTATTAGTAACAGAAGCTTTTCCTTTTTTCATCTTCTGAATCCATATATCGTTAGTCCCCCTATATTTTCAAAATCTTTCCTGACTGTATCAGTCCAGGTCTTGATTAGTCCTCCTCGCTTTTGACGCCACCCATAATAGAATTTAGCAAGTAACGAAATATGCGTCAACTTGTCAGCTTCTGTGGTAGACAGAGAATGTACCCTAACTAGCGAAGGCGACGCTCTATGATAACATTATTAATACAGGTGGTATCTGAGTTAAGATGGATACAATTGTCAGTTTTTGCGATTTTGTCAGTTTGATGGATCCGTAAAATGTATTTCAGATATGAGTGGTAAAAGGCTAATAGCTTTTTAGTATCTTCCACACTCATTGGCAATGTATCGCAGATATATAGTAAGATCGAGCAAATTGTAGCTATATGGAGGCAGATTTTCACATTTATGATGATTTCGCGATGGTTCCACAAAGGTTCCATCAACTGGAAAAACAATTTCTAATTGCCGTTACCTGAGTTACAACTTCATTTTTTGCCTGGCCATTTGGGATTAGAGTGGATCCAAAATATTTAAAGTCGGGCACTTCCTCAACCGGCAATGAATTGATAAAAATAGGTATTTTATCAGTATCTTGTATATAAGACGAAAACACTTTCGTTTTATTTACATTGCTTTTGAGTCCAATACTCGCTGCAGTTTTTGATACATTATTTTGCATTATTTGCATTTCATTATAACTATCAGCAAAAAGGATTACATCTGTCGCCGAATGCCGAAAAAAAGATGTAAATATGAGCAAGTAATCCGGATCGCAGAGTACCTCGTAAGTAAGAGGTATAATGTACTTTTATTATTAAAAAACATAAATCTTCCTGCCCATCTTAAATTAAATATAAGCTCCCAAAAGATCATTTTTGGTCATTTTATGCTTCTATTAGGGAAACGAGTGGGGGAGGATCGGTAAACGATAGACATTTATATCTTATATTTGATTTTATTTCCTATATTATTTCCTTGCAGGAGGACAATTGTTTCACTTCACTTTCTTGTATATATTTGCGCCTTCACTAAAAAAGATTCACTAAAGATAAAGATTTAACCTAAGTTTGAGGGCTCTTAAAGATGCAATGCAATGTAATGTAACATAATGTAATGTTCAAGAAATTTATTTATTGTGAAAATGATATTTTTTTAAAAAAAAGCATTTTCACTTTTCAATATTTTTCAATAGAAATTTCTTCAGAGACCATCAAATATTGATATATACGATATTTTCACGTAAATTTATCTCTTCACTCAATAATTTTCCATATCAGTGCAGTAAAAAATAATTTCCGAACTTTAGTATTAATACGTTATTAGATATTTTTTTATTCAGTAGCTGTATCATATATAACTAAGTAAGTGCTTAGTCAGTTATCAATTCTTATAAGGCTCGCTGCACTGGCTGCTAATAAGATGAGAAAATTTTGTTAGGGAGTATCTAGAAACAGAAGTAAATAAGTAGGCCAGCAACCGGATTTTTCAGTGATAAGTACCAGAGGCAAGGACCGATTACGATAAAAAAGTAGACTGCAACCACTCGACTATTTTGCCCTTTACATTTGCCGTATTCAAAATATGAACATAACAAACTTATTTATATTGTACGATTATTATACAAATTAATCATTGTGACAAAATATTTTTTTATGGATTTCTTAAAGTCTTGCGAATAGCTACAAAAAAATAAAAGATTTCATAAAGATAAATTATTTTAACAAGAACTTAGAAGATCATCGAAAACTCCAAAAATTTTTATTACAGTTTTAGCCCCTTAGGATTTTATACGATTTGATTAAATCATCCGGAATTTCATTTTTTTAAATTACAATGGTCTATCAGTGATTAAGAAAAAATTGCAAGTATTAAATACTCAGTGAAAAGCTGGAAAGAATAGGTTTAAAAATTGAAAGAATTATTTATCTGGCAGAATCCTACATCATTCGACCATCCTTGATTGGTACAAGTCGCAGTAGAACGACCATGTACCGCAAAGCCTTTGTCACAAATTAAAATCGCCATGGAACCAACTTCGTACTTCGACTTTATTTCAGACTGTATATAGAATATCTGGAAATAAAAATAAAGTTGATAATTAGTTTTACGATAGGAATTATAATTATAAGAAAATCCTGATAAAAATATAGAATACAAAATGAGAATGCCGGAAAATTTAAAACTTTTAGTATATTAATAATAAACAGCACAACTTGCTCTTACTTTTGCATTTTTAGGACCAGATATGGGATCGCAGTTTCGCTTCTTGCTCGATAAACCTAAACCAGGTTGGCAACTACCCAAGGACGGAATCCAGATTCCATTTTTACACGATGACGATGGTTCACCGTTTAGCATATATCCGAGGTTGCAATGTAGTAATAGTTTCGTACCTATTTTGTACCTGCCTTGATCAAGTACCGTATCATAGGTAATCTTTAAAAAAACAAGCCGATTTATCGCATGAATTAAATAAAAAACTCAAATATTCGCAAAAAGTAATTCAATTAAATTTAAATAGTAAACTATTTAAATCCAAAAATTTAAATAATTTAAACTTTAATTAGCTCGCTCAAGCATTCCAAACCGAATTATTGAAGCATCTCAATGATACAAATATCAATGATTTTTCTGGAACGGCAAATGAATACTGGTCCAAACTAAACGAATGTCTCCGAAAGTCAGCCACTTCCACGCTAGGGCATACTAGTAGGAAGAACTTTAGTTGAGTATTGGAAGCAACTATCCAATTGTCTGAAAAAGCTGCCAAAGCTTGTCAGAATGTCAGGTGATCCTAACTACCGGGCGCTTCGAAGAATTGCAACGAAAGCAGCAAGACAGGACAGAAATCACTATTGACCTCAAGAATGGAGGCGGCGACTCGATTAGGCGACAATAGGAAACTATTCTGCCTTCTTCATAAAGCAACTCGAGGAACGATCAGTGAAATGGTAAGAGATAGCAATGACGTACTAATCAAAAGTATTAAGGATCGCCTCATAAGATGGAAAGAATTTTTTAAGGCCAAGCTTAACCATGAAGCGCCATCTGTCGCCCCTGATATAGCTGATACGTTTGCAGAAGCATACGCTTGCAACTGCAAGCCTCCAACAGAAGAAGAAATAATTTCAGTTATCCATAAGCTTGAGGCCAACAAAACTCCAGGAGAAGATGGTTTTCGGGCTGAGCTTTTCAAATGTTGCCCATCGTTCTTCATAACGCACCTTCAACAAATATACTCTTTAGTATGGAAAAAAAATATTACCAGATGATTGGAACAAAGCAATTCTGCTCACAATTTTCAAGAAAAATGATAGGACATACTGCAACAATTATCGAGGAATCAGCCTACTAGACATCACAGCAAAAATTTTTGCTTCCCTGCAACAGACTTATGGAAGTACGGGACAGCATGATGCGCCCTAATCAAACTGGTTTCAGACCATGTGTTGTGCTGACCAGATATTCACGTTAAGAAGGGTGTTTGAACATCGCTTCAAATATTTGCAACCCACTGTCACGTGTTTCATGGACTTTGCGGCTGCCTTCGATTTAATTGATAGAGCGGCGCTTTGGAAGGTGATGGAACGAGACGGTGTTCCAGAGAAAATCATTCGACTCATAAAGGCATTTTATGAGCGCACGTCGGCGCACGTCTGTGTATATGGGAAGCTGACAGATTCCTTTGAAATAAGAACAGGATGGTGTCCATCAGAGCTGCGTCCTTTCCCCCACAATATTCAACTGGGTAATGGACTGCTTGTCGACACTCAAGAGGTGTCCGAATTAGTTCAGAACATCGTATCACAGATCTTGAATACGCTACTGATGTAGTCTTTTTTGCTGACAGTCATAACGAAATGCAAGTAATACTAAATAACGTCTCAGAATCGGATCGGATCGGAACTCAGGATCAATGTAAATAAAACGAAAGTTTTCGTCTTATGTGCAAGAAGCTGATAAAATGCCTCTTTTTATAAATTCATTGCCGATCGAGGAAGTGCCCGATTTTAAATATCTTGGGTCCACCCTAATACTAATAGCCAGGCAAAAGACGATATTACAGCCCAGATCACTGCAGATAGAAATATGATTCGTTCGATCTTGCTATATGGTTCTGAGACATGGCCAGTGAGAGTGGAGGATATTAAGAAGCTATCTACCTTTGACCATTCTTGTCTAAGGTACATATTATAGATAAGAAAAAATATAGAGCGGATAAAATATCACAAGTTCGCATCCATCTTCGTTCAAATACCACTTGCATAAATAATGTTATCATATAGCGCCGCTTTCGCTGGATAGGGCACATTCTCCGTCGTCCACCACAGGAGTTGACGCATATTTCGTTATTTGCTAAACCATGTGATGGTTGGCGTGAAAAGCAAGGTGGACCCGGATTGATTGTCAGGAAAGATTTTGAACGTATAGGTGGACCAGCAATATATAGATTTAGACGATGGAAAAAGGAATGGCTTCCATTACTGTCGACGATGGCATTAGACTGCGCCTCTTGGAAGCGTCCTTGTAGCCGTTGGAGCCAAACTAACCAGTAATGGTGAGAGCTGTTAGTAGAAGAAGAAGCATTAGCTCTCTCAAGAAATTATTGTTAAAAAAAAAGAAAAAAGCACTTTGCAAAAGTTTTACTGAATAGCGAAAGTAAATGCTACTTATGGGTTTGCCCGTTTTCCATTGAGCTCCTTCTGTTGGGCTTTTATCACCATCATTAATCCGTCAAAGATCCGTCAAAGACATCATTTTTCTTCTCCATTGACTCATATCAGTTTTTCTTCCTTTTTTTATGGCCGTCATCTATTAATATTTGACTTTTTTTATTGATTTGCTACCTTGCCAATAAGTCACCTTCGAACCTCTCTGAAATGAGACGGAAACTGCTTTATCAATCAATTATTTAGTCTCCTTTATTGATCCTTGATGATAATTCATAAATCACTCATGATTCCATCCACCTTCTGTCAAATAGCATTTGTATCACTATCGTCACAGGATACCGTCTTTGCTGGTTAGACGTTCTTCCACCACAGCAGTTGATACTTGCTAAACCTTGCGATGGATGGCGTCAAAAGCGAGGAATGCAATCAAGACCTGGACTGACGCAAAAATTTTGAATGTATAGGTGGACCAGCGATATATGGACTTAGACGATGGAAAAAGGAATGGCTTCTATTATTGCCAGCGATAGCACCGGACCGAATAGCTTGGAAACATCTTATCCTCCTTGTAGCCAGCGGAGTCAACCTAACCAGTAATGGTGAGAGCTGCTAGAAGAAAAAGATAATTAATGAGATAATAAGTCGCATTTTTTAGTTTTGTGGCCTCAAAGTAGTTTTTGCATTCGCAGTTCGAAAAGCATATGATGACACTGAAACTAATCATCACGAAAAATCAGGAAAGAATCATCGAAATTTCGTAAATGCAAATAAGCAAAGAAAAAGTTACATATCCATTAGAAGGTACCGACTGTGGCAAACATTTCTGATCATTATTTTTTGGGTGATCAGGATTACTTGTAACTGAACTTAAGCATGCGCCAATTTCTGCTGACGGTGTCCATCCATTTACGCCACATACTATCACTGCATTACCAACTCGAACAAAACTGTGGTCGCAAGTAAGAGAAGCTATCGTTCCCAATCTATATACATCGTTAGAATTTGATCCAATGTAATCAATCTGTTAAAAAAAAAAGATCACTTTTTTGGCTTAGAGAAAACTTGATAATTTATAGATATTATTTTATTAATGAATTATTAATTTTATGTGAAATCATAAAATTGTATATATATATATATATATATATATATATAATTTTTGGCTGGCTCAACTGGCTGCGATAATTTGTCAGGAAGTTATTTATAGATAAAAATATGGGAAAATTTCTAACGTCATTCTAATTTTTTTAAAAGAATTTCAATGAAATTCACTTCATGGATAACCTTGGTACTCGAAATAATAACCCATTCAATATATATTAATAATGTATATAAATATATACAGTAATAATCCAAACAACAACTATTCGGCTATTCTATCGGTTCAGAAATACAATTTGAATAATTTCTCTATTGAGATAATTTTATAATTTAATTTAAAATTAAAAAATTAAAGAATACAATCGATATAAAAACAAAGTAAAGTATCTTACCTTTCCGTTTACCGGTATCGATAAGGTGGAGCAATTTCCACTCGAAGCAATTGTTCGCATTTGGTAAAGATATACTGAAATTAAAAAAGTGCAACTTTGAAGAGCAGTAGTCACAGATTATCTGCGGAATTACGAATTTATGCTAAAAGTTAGTTAAATCCATTTGAAGATTATTATTACTATTATCATTATTACTGTTACTACTCAGCATCAATCAAGATTTCAACAAATTATAGCAAAATGAAGTATTTTTTAGTCTATATCACATGTTATATTGTTAGGAAAGCAACAAGAATATTAATGGATTAAAAACGAATTAAAAAACAAAAAAAAAGGAATGGCAGACTGGTTGGCGATTTGGTTAATCTAGGAAACTTTAATTGAACTTCTTTAAAATATCGCACAGAACTTTGGAATAATGTTCCTTAATGAATGCTATATCTTCGATTTTGATGGAATTCAATCATCTACTCCTTAATCGACTAATCAAGGCGTTATTAAAGATCTATTCGTACTTCCCCTTAAGCCGCCCTGAGGCGAAAGAATTTCGTCTTTAGTAGTTTAATCAGCGAGCCAAATAAATATTGAAGGCTGTGAATAATATTTACAATCACAATCAATTAAGTCCAGGAAAAAATATGATTAAACAATAAAGTCTCTTGATATTTTTTCAGTTCCTAAGCATTTTCGTCATACAATTCCATAGAACCAAGTCAATTTGCATTATCTATATTTTAATTTCCAAGATAAATTCTTGCTAGAATTCATAATTCCTTGAATCCAGAAATATGATGGAATCCTCAAAACGCTTTTTTCAAAAATATGGAAAATGAAATTAATGCGTACCAGGAGCGATGCATTGCCCGAATGATGGAGACCAGATTCCATTTGAACAAAATGATAAGGTATTTCCATTTGGCATGAATCCACTATTACACGTTAAAACTGCTGTTGTCCCACTTAAAAATGGTGCTGTTGTACCCTATAAATAATTTTTTTTTTATTCATTTTTCAGCTTAAAACTTTGAAACATGTCTATTTTAATGACAAAACCAACCAAAGAATAACGTATAGCACCATTCAAAACTGACGGAATTTCTAGATTACAACTAGCCCCTGTATTTCCTGCGACTGCCAGTCCTCCGTTTATTCCTTGTTGGCATAAGCCGAGAATCGGCGGATCCCATTGTCCTGAAAAGTAAGCAAATAAAAAAATGAAGAATGATAATTTCTCGCTTTGCATTCTTAGGTTTGTTAAACAATAAATGCGATTATTTTTTTATAATTTCAATTAATGAAAACGTACTTAAAAATTCCATAAATTTTTTCATAACTTTATTCCATAACTTTCTCAATCAATAACACAAAAGTTTAAAAAAACCTTAAATGACTGTTTTTTCACCAGTTTTTTACCAAAAAGGAAATCTATCCATTTGTCACATATTTATAGCAAAAGAAATATACCACTTTTACAGATTGTTGAAGATTGTCCAGAAGGAATAAATCCAAGATTGCAAACTAATGTGGCAGTTGTTCCCGATGGGTAAGTGGTGAGGGAACTTGTTGAATACTGGATATTTCCATAAAGAGGAGGCATAATTCCCATGCAAGATCCTTGTGTCGAATCTAAAATCAGAAATCACTATGAAAGGTTTCACTAGAAAATTGAAAATTGAAAAATTTCCATTCATTTAGCTTTCACATATCTTGGTAAAAACTGACTTGAATTCGACTGAGTGCAAATGGCAGATACAGGTGGAATCCATAGCCCATTTTGACATGTACTTGATGCAGTTCCTGACAGAGAAAAACCAAGATTGCAACTAACAATGACAGTGGTATTTGAAGCGTGCGAAGATGCTCCTCCATCTGAGTATTTTATAAAGCCATTAGTGACTGGTGCCACGTCGGGGCATTGCCCGAAACTTGTTGCTGTAAAAATTAATAATTGAAAAAAATTTTAAAATTGTTGGCTAAAATTGCGAAAAAAAGTATAAATAAAATAAGAACCTCCAACTGCGCAAGATAAAGTAGGTGGATTCCATAATCCACCTATACATGTACTAATTGTATTTGAAATGGGTGAGAATCCGGTGTTACAAACAAGAGTGGCTGTTGTTCCAGATGGAAATGGAGGAACAGTTGAAGTTGTAGAGTAATTGATCTGACCAGCAAAAACTGGTGGCAACCCCACCATACACTGAGATTGGCTAAGAATTAATGGATTATTAACTGAAGCCCCTGAAAATAAAAGGAATCAAATTTTTTAGTTTCTTTAACTAAAACCAAGATTTTATAGACCAAGAAATATTAATAAAATAAAGTTGGTATTGGTTGATATTAACTTTTAAAAACTGATTTATTTAAAATTTTCCAACTAAATTTTCCAAAAAATTAGCTATTACCTAGCGCTGAACATTCGCCCAGCTGTGATGGTGTCCAAACACCATTGATACATGTTGAAGACGTATTTCCAAGAGCCGAAAATCCCAGATTGCAAATTAATGTAGCTATTGTTAAGGAAGGAAATGGCGCAGAATTTGAAGCAGTTGAGTAGAGTATATTACCGTTTGCTGGTTGAGGAAAACCGATTGTGCATTGCTGATTTGATGCTATAAATTTCATATGTCAAGCATTGATTTCAATGAGATCGATTTAAGACTTAACTCATCCCATTCCAGCCAATAATTTTTACCAGTCTACCATCCCATTTCGTTAAGGATTAGTAATAATGGTTAGTTTTGGAAAATAAACAAGAACAAAAGAGAAAAGAAAATATAAGAATAAAATTAATTTAAAAAAATAAGAAACACTGAAAACATTAATCGGTTAAAAGAAGCATTTAAGTTTTGTTATTTATGTTTTGAACCTTTTAACCTTCATGCCATGCTTATATCATATGAATCGCTTCCGAAACAGATATTTTACCCAGATAAATTGTATCCTTCATACAAATAGTTACAATGTTTGGTACCCAACGCCCATCCATACAAGTTAATAATTTTGGCCCAGAAAGCACATATCCAGGATCGCAGATTATTCTAGATGTGGAAGCATTTGGTTGTTCAGAAGAATTTGACGAATAAACAATTTTTCCATTGTTCGGCGTTGGAATATCCATTGCACAAGACTTTTCGATACGTTTTTCAACTATAAACTTCAACTATAAACTTTTAATAAATTTTTTACGAATTCATATTTTGGCTGAATATGGAGCTAAATTTTCTAAATTTTAAATTGATTTGGAGAAATAGTTAAGAGAATTAAAATTGTTTCTGGAATAGAAATAGTAATAGTATTATCTGTTTGTGTGAAATATGGAAATTCCATTGAAGATAAAGAGTTGAAGTTTTGATGTTATAAGAAAGAGCAGAATACATTTTTAAAATTTACCGGAGAAGGAAAACTGCTTGAAAAAAAATAAGATAAAATTACCTTGGATACATTTGCCTAGTATATTTGGATACCACTGTCCTTCGATGCATATTGTCAGTGAATCTTCACTGGGCATGCCAGTAGGACATTGCAATATGGCAACTGTTCCCGATGCGAATGGACCAAGTTCAGAGCCTAAAAGGATAAAATTTTTAGTACGGATTATGACTCATTAGAGAATGAAAGAAATAACTTAGATTCATAAAAAAATGAAAGATATGAATGAATAGAATTCATAAAAAGATAACCAGAACTATAAATAATTTTTCCCCACAAAGGAGGTGACAATCCCAGAATACAACCGACTGTTTCATTTCTGGTTCCAGGGACACATGTGCCAAAAATCTGGGGCTGCCATTTTCCATCTTCACATATTGAGGTTGCCTCATCTCAAAATAATTTTAACATATAAAACTTTCAAAGTACTAGCAAAAATCTGGATCATATTGTATTAGCTGGTAAATCTCTTCTTTTCTTTTTCTTTTAATATTTTAATATCTACCTCCTTTAACATTTTTGATTTGAGCCATTGACTACTATTGGAAGATCGATTCATCAGAGACTCATTTAGGGTAATACAAATGGCCTAAGCACCACTCAATTTTCACTTTTAATGAAAAGTTTAGTCTTATTGCAAAAAAGAGATCGAATCTATAATATATGACCTCAGTCGAAGAAAATATAACTCGACCATTCTAATTTCAGTGCCAGAAACTTGATTAAAAATTTTAGCAAAACCATTGATAAAAGAAGAATGATTGAACAAATTTTAAATATCCGTTATCTAATATCTAATATCTAATATCCGTTTCTCTAAAATGAACAGTAACCTTGAACATGAAAACCAGAATCACAAAGAGCAATGGCATGAGTTCCAGCTGGAAAAGGACCGAAAAATGCACCGTTTGAATACAATACGTGCCTATTGGAAACCATTGGCATTCCAAACATACAACTATTAGAGCCTTCTGTATCCTAGAATGTCCCAGTAAAACCAGTAAAAAGCAAAGCGAACAATTGCTAGAAATCTATAAAAACTATATGAAAAAAAACTCACATGATTGCATGGACCAAGACTTGATTCTGGATACCAACCTTGGATTTGACAAGTCAACATTGCTAAACCGTCATTTCGAAAGCCATCATTGCAAAATAGTTCAGCAGTGGATGTAACCGAAAAATGATTACTATCGTAATTGGTATAATGGATCTGAAACGATTGATATAAATATCCGCCAACCTATCATCGTTTATATAATAAATTAATTTTTATCAGAAAATCGTCTGATAATTTATAATATGAAGGTATTTTGTCAGCGTACATCGACACAGGTAATCGGCACAGGTATCGATATATGGGGGACTGAGAGACCTTTTTGAAATAAAAACTCCGGCCTGCCCTTTCTCCTACAATATTCAACTATGCGATAGACTGGATAATGAGCATCGTTTATCAGTGCTCAAGAGGTGTTCAAATCAGTCCAGAGCATAGTATTATAGACCTTGAATACGCTGATGATGTAGTTCTTTTTGCCGACAATTACAAGGAAATGAAAATAATGTGTCAACAACTGCAGCGAGAATCGGACTCAAAATCAATGTAAATAAAACGAAAGTGTTTTCGTCTTATATACAAGATGCTGATAAAATATCTATTTTTATCAATTCATTGCCGGTAGAGAAAGTGCCCGATTTCAAATACCTTGGATCCACTCTAATCCCAAATGACCAGGCAAAGGAAAGTGTAGCCCAGATAACGACAGCTAGAAATGTTTTCCCGATTGATGAAACTTTTATGGAACGGTCGCGAAATCACCATAAAGACGAAATACGCGTCCATATCGCTGCAATTCACTTGATCTTACTATATGGCTGCAAGACATGGCCAACAAGTGGAGGATATTCAGAATCTGCCCTTGACACTCATGTCCAAGATATATTTTATAAGTTCGCCGAGTGGACAAAATCTCTCATGATTGCATCAATGTCCACTCAAATACCATCTGCATTAATATTACTATCAAAGAGCGTCGTCTTCGCTGATTAGCATATTCTTCGTCGTCCACCATAGAAGTTGACATTTCGTTACCTGCTAAACCCTATGATGACGTTAAAAGCGAGGTGACCAATTAAGACTTGGATTGATACATTCAGGAAAGATTTGGAACGTATAGGGGAATTTATGGACTTAGACGTTGGAAAAAGGAATAGGTTCTATTACTGCCATGGGTCGGACCGAAAGCTTGGAGATGTCATACTCTTGTAGCCAGCTTAAGAGGTAATGGGGAGAGATGTTAGAAGAAGAAGAGTATGAAGGTGAAACTATGCGAATTGTCTTAATTTAGAAATGGTCGAGTGATCTCTTGTCAAGTGATCAAAAATTCTTGAAATTAAAGTTTGGAACCCTGTTTATATCCTGTTCTCAAATGACCTTTTAGCGATGGAATACGGAATAAGCGACAAGCAACCAAAACTGGAACCAAAAGCAAAAATTCCAACAAATCATTGAGTCACTTTCTTAGCCTATCAGAAGAATTATATCGAAAATGGAAAAGTACCAGTTACAAAATACTTAATTTACGGTTAATATTGGACATAAACCTACTTCACCATTTGGTACATTTGGGAGTTCTTGACATTTATCCGATATTTTCTCACAAAGTCCAAGGCTTGGCGGTGACCACCGTCCATATTCGCATTTTATTTGTTTAATAGACCCTGTCGATAGAAAGCCATCAGAACATTGCAAGCGAGCTAAAGTGCCATTTGGTAAATTATTCGATTGATATTGGCTATAAATAATGCGTCCATTGTCTGGATTGGATAATTGTGGGCAACTAATTGTAATAGCGTTCCATGAATCAACTTTTGCTAAAAAAATGGAAAAAATTACAATAACTACAAATTAAAAAAATTAAAAAAATTACGAATTACAATAAACCATAAAAAAAAAGTCCGCCAATAAAGCAATTTAATGTATGGAAAAAATTTTTCAATTTTTCTGGTTGAATTCAAATTTCATTCAAAAAAAACTAAAACCTCCTGAGACATTCGGAACACATTGACCTAATGTACCATGTGGATACCATCCGGTATTCGTACATATAAGCACTGAAATTCCTGCTGGTACAAGTCCTTCGTCACATTTTAGTGTTGCTGATGTGCCGACCGGTGTAATCCCTTTTTCACTGTGTTGATAAATTATCTTGAATTGATAAATATGATGTACTATAAATGCTATCAGTGCTATAAAATCGTAGCTCCATAATGTCATTACCATGATGGTTCACTTAAAAGATGAGCAGCAATTATTCTCTTCTGAAAACCACTAATCCACTATTAAACCACTAATCATTGTTAACTACTATTTTTGGTTTTCTGGTGTAGCTGACCACCAGTATTAGGTAATTTCAGATAGTTATTTGGAAAAGTATATATGGGTTCTCACAAGCCATCCGGATTTTACTTCCGGATTAACTACAGTAATAAGTTTTTAAATAACCTAAATTTTCGCATTTTTTATGATTTTAAAGCATTTTGATTTTAAAGCAATGATCTCAGGAAGCATTAATATAATAAAAAAAAAACTTATGCAGAAAGATTAACTTGTCCATCAGACACGTTTGATAGAGTTTGACATTTATTTTGTGCCGCTTTCATCCATTCAGATCCATTAACTCTGGCATCAAACAATAACTGGTCGTATTCTTCATCATCTGACCATCCATAACACATTGGTATTAATTCTTTCATATAGCCAGGAAATGTTGCTTCATGGCCAAATGAATAAGCATATTCTAAATTATTTGAATACCGAACTTGATATTTGATCAATATTTACTGGCAGACTATAAACGATAATGAAAAATTACTGGTCGCTGATGAAGAATCAGTTCGAAAACGAAAAATCGGAAGATCCGCTCCACAGTCTCCATATGAACGAGCACAATAATATTCGCCTGCTTTGTCAATTTCTACATAACCATTCGGTACACCTAATACATTTTCCTGATGCAGGATCATTCCTGAATTTGGATGCTTATCATGAAAATGATAAGTGAAGCAATTTGTTACGTCAATGAAAACCAATAGAAATTAGAAGGTTTAATTTGGAAGACAGAAATTGAATGATTATCTCTATTAAATCTATTAAATATTATTATTACAAAATTAAATATTAAAAAGCGGAATTAAAATTTTTTTAAAATTAGAAAATTTCTATTTGCAAGGACAAACGAGAAATGAGAAAAAAAATGAAAAATACGAATTACCATCGAGATTTCGCTCATTCGTCGCTAATTTAACCGTGCATCCACTTGGACAAGATGACGGTATACCTCTATTCAGTAGAATCACTGATGGGCTATTTTTTAATCTAACGAATTCTTGGGATTCCAATTCCATACTACCTATGCGGTATATATCTAAGCCCTTTAAGCTCGATTTCTTCCATATTGATACAGGTGCTAAAATTATGAAAATGGTTCATACTAAGCAATTTTAAACCTATTTCCTCAATACTGTGGTATTATTTACATTTAAAAATATAAAGTTTTTATGAAAATATAACGTAATAAAAAACAAGCACACCTAAATTACTCGGAAATCCTCCTTTGACACAAAATAACGACTGACCAATTATTTCACTGATAAGAACTGTTAATAAAGTAACAATTACGATAAAGCAATGATACATAATATTTATTACTTCATCGATAAAATTTTTTTAACTTGATGACTGAAAATCTTTTAGAGAATCAAATTTTTATTCGCTTTTCGTAGATATTCAGACAATTCCAAAAATTCAAGTCATAGAAAAAATCTAAAAGTTCTTGAATTTCGAAAACCCTAAAATCACTGGATGTTTGGCGCAAAAATTTCTTGAACATAAGCTCAAGTCCTTTACAGTATAATAATAAATAAAAGAAAATATTCATTTTTAGATAAAATTGAATAAGCAAGTGAAGAATACGAAATTCTCTATATTTTGGCACCTCAAACGATAAGTTTTTTTTTTCTTCTTCTTTCAAGTTTATTTTTTCTTTAATTTTTTTTATTTTTCTATTTTATCCTTGTCTTCGACAGGAGCAAACCCACCATGCTGCTGAGAACCTGTAAGTGTATCGCCAAGTGATTCTATGGTAAAAAGGTATGGTTTTCTTGACATGATCTTCCCGTTTTCTCACGTGTATGATGCCAATCCGGTCATATGTGCAAAAGTAAACAGCCCAAGCGTAAAATGATTCCAAGGCTTTTAAATAAAATATACTCGCAAGCTAGGGTAATTTCTTGAAATCTATCAAGGGAAACGCGGCGAGGTATTAGCGATAGCAAGGTGGAACGTCAGAACTCTTATGGACGTTGTAAGTTTAGCGATTAGTGTCCACACCCTTTAAAAATATCTGTGGATGTCGCCAGCTTATCAGAGGTCCATCCCGTTTTAGATAGCGTAGCGATTGTTATGTCTAAAAAACTCTTGCTCTTACCTCTTTGACTGAATGGAAACTAGTAGGCCCTATGCATGCTTTATAGGAAAGGAAAGAAATATTTCAGTCATCAAAGTATAAACGCGCAGATGACCTCAATAAGGATAAGTTCTATACAAAACTTCAGTTGCTAACAATATCTATACTGAAATATTTGGTTATAATCGGAAAAAACTGGAATGCCGTTGCGAAGAACTCAGCAATTGGCAAATATGGTATCGGAGTGCGGCGCGCCAATGGGGGAATACGCGTTCTCCGCTTTGCAAAAGAGTATTTTGTTACTAATACATTCTTTTAACATCTAGTCACACGGAACATCCTATATAATCAACATTCCAACCAGACTGATTATATCTTAGTCAGTCACGACTGGAAGAATTCCGTACTAAATAGTCGTTCCTACCGCGGAGCAGCGCGATACGGACAAATGTAATCTGTCATGTTATGGTTCGAACCAAGATCCGCATAAAACCGACAACTCGCAAAAAACGACATCCCACAAGATCTTTCAACTATCTCAGACTAAAAGATTCAGGGACAGTGAGCGTATTTCAAACCAAATTACTGAAATATTTTAATGATAGAAACGATTTTTCTAGAACGACAGATTGATCCCAACATCTTTGAAAGTCAGCCACTTCCACATTATGATATATAGATAGATACTAGTAGGAAATACGATAGTGGAGTGTCGAAAGCAACATCTAACTGTCTGAAACGGTTGCCAAAGCACAAGTGTCAGAAGAAATGTCCTGGATCAATCTTTCAAAGAATTATAAGAATTATAATGACAGCAACTCGGTGAGACAGAAATCGCTACTGGATATTGCCTTGGAAATAGAGATGGCGGCTCGATAAGGCGATAATAAGAAACTATTCTATGCTCTTTTAACCAGCTTAACAAGTAATGATGAAAGTTAGAAGAAGATAAAATTAAATTAAAATTAAATGACTGATTGCCGTACTTTGAGCAGAATAGCTGAATGGCTATTTCTTAGATTATCTTCTTCTCATTACGCGCGACTAGCATAACTAGGCGACCAGGGTTTTCAAGCCTCTAGACTAGAGCCTATGCGTCTCCCATGACCTTGTAAAACCAGGCTTTGATTGGTCCTCTTTTTAATACCACTCATCACAGGGCTTAGAAAGCATTGTGTGAATATCCTTGGTGGAAGACGAATAAAATAGCAAAACCATGCAGAATAGCAAAACCCAACGTTTTTTCATTATACTTTTAATGCAGGTGATATTTGAGCGAAGATGGAAGATCAATCATGTAAAACTCCACCTTGGCAAGTAGGAAGGATGTATAAAAGAATAAATCAGATAAATTCCTGATTTCTTTCATTCTCGGTGACCAAGTAAAATTGTGAGCCGCAAACTTTCGTTCTGAGGCTGATTTCGTGGCTTTTCCAAAGGAGCTTCCGATAAAAAGAGGCATTTTTAGCTGCATCTGTCCGAGCTGGAGTTTCATTTCTCATCCATTAGGTATGAGAATGGATCCGAGAAATCGAAGCGAATGCTATCAGCATATCGAGACTGGTGATATAGGATGCTGGATGCTGCTGTCTAACTATTTTATACTTATACTCAGGTGAGCCTCGGGCAAAATTGTCACCCTAATAACAATAACAATCAGTACAGCGAGCTTAATCAGAATGAAAGTACGAACCAAAGATACTAATGAAAGGTAGTATATCTTCTTTAAATGGATTAACGATATTGATGATCCCTGACTAATATGAATACTGTCACTGTCACTCAACCTAATTTTGTTATTTCTGAAAAAAGGGAAAATTTAGCGAATTTTCGACGATCGCCATATTTGATAGAGAAAATCGATTTGACAATAATTCAAATCTCCATTATAAATCTACAATATTTGAAGATAATAATAAGATGCTTTACCATTATTAATCGCAGTAGAATTCAGGGAAAATAAGTATTTATGGTAAATAAGTCGTTAGCGTTCTATATTTCTGGTTAAATTAGATCCATTGATTAATATAGTTAAAAATTTTTGATGGAAGCCAACTGGCGATAGAAGTGCAGCTGGCTCACCTCTCGCACTTTTTTGATGATAGCTTTGTTCTCCTGTCGGAGATAAGAGCCGAACTCTTTCTTCTCAACAGCTTCTCAACACCACTGTCCAGTCAACTGCTCTGCCCTCTATGCTTTAATAGATACAATAAGGGCGAAGCGATTGAACTATTGGACATACAAAAGGAATTTTGATCAAGATTTAATTGTATTTTTAGAGGAAAAATTCTCAAAAAATTTTGCAGAGAAATATTAAAATGAACGGTGATCGCGCGAAATGAGAATTCTTCATTCCTCGTTGTAAACAAAATAATCCAAGAACAGGAATCGAAATAATCGACTATTCAAATGGATTTAAAAATCAATGTCGATGGATGGATGAATTGCAAATTCAATCTTCAGTATCATGTATTTGTATGTGTGTGGTAAATATAAATATAAATATACTTATTTCTGTACCGATTATTACCACAACTAATCTATAAATGATAATGAATATAGGATTTTATCTCTTTCTTTTAGCACATTTCTGGTTCGGCTGGATTCATTGAATACTAGGATGGGACCTTTGTACCAGAGAACAAATGCGAAACATTTGGTGATGGTTCCCATACTATTTGCCTTTAGCGATATAAATACAAGAATGCTCCATAGGCTTTTTATCTATAATCAAGGTTGAAAAAAAGAAGTCATTCGTATTAAATTGTAGTTGTTTATAGCTGTTTCAATACATCCACTTTTATTCACACATTAAGTGAAGGAATTTTTTCCTTGACCTGATTATCATAGAAGTTCATTTTTTTGCAAAAGCAAATTCTCTTTTATTATTCTCATTGGAAGAATTGGAAGCGAGCGGTTCAACTACTTTGCCATGAAAAACATAAGAAAAAGAGAAAACCAATAAAATTCTCAAAATTCTGAAAAACATTATCAAAAAATAAAATAAACCTTAACTTTAAATTATATAATAAGTAAAACAATTATTATAATAATTATATAATAAGTAAAACAAATAAAGCAAATAGCAGATGAAGATTATAGGAATAAAAATTGCACTATTTATCCGACCTTGGTGACTCGCTCTCCCTTTCAAAAAGAAATTTCCGCTCTTCTCCATTTTGCTTGGTGCTAAAATTAAGGAAAGTAATTTTTTTTGAATTTGCAATAACCCAGCAGTATTGTCTTATGTTTACCTCACGTTTTACCTCACGTTTTTATCAGGATATCTATCTTCTTTGCGAAAATAATTTACATTTATATTTATTACAATCCCACAATTAAAAGCCAACAATATTTGGTTCCAGTATCGCAGTGGCCATTTTTCACCATTTCAAAATTCGCTGATTTATTCACCTCAAATTTTTGAATTCCTGAAATAATTTTTACTAACTGATCACATCCCATTACCATTATTCTGATTCTTCCGCTGATCCTTACCCAAGTAAATCCAATAGATATATTTAGATGAAATGTAAAGAATTCTTTATTCTTATTTCTCTTAATACTCTTAATTCTTATTTAAAATTCAGAATTTTTCTGTAGAAAAATCATATCCCGACATAAATCTTAAAAAAAAAAAGAAATAATCAAATATGATAAATTTAAGCGATTAGCGAATCGCAGCCAAAATAAAATTTACAACAATTCGATGGAAAAGTATCATTAAAAGTGGATTTGGTTTTGGAACGATTGAAATATAAAATATAGCAATAAAAATTCAGGTTTATAATATATAAATAAATATAAATAATAATAAAAAGTAATAAAAGTGTAAAAAGCGGATTTTATTTATTAAAATACTAAAAATAGAATTAAAATAGAGTTAAATTAATAAGAATTTTAAAACTGCAATTGTCAATTTGTTCAAACTAGAAAATGGCAAATAAAAATACAGCAATTATTTTTTCGATTTCTAAAAATCAAGTGGAACACAATAAACACAATTGATGATTGGTATACAGCAATAAATATCAGTGTGAAATTCAGAAAATTCTTTCTGCAAGTTTTTACAAATTTCAACGACATTCCTGAATTCAAACTTATCGTAAATTTAAAAGAATCAGGATTTATACCTTATTCTCACTTGGTGTGCAAGTCAACTGAGCTGAGTTGTATATATGCAATTCACTGATCGCTTATTTCAATTTACATGATCACATTTGCCATTCGCAATACTTTCTAAAGTCTAGCAATGAATAAACCATAATGATAGAAAAAAAAAAATTTAAGAACATCTAGAGAAAATATGAAAAGGAACAAGTATAGAGGAACACAAAGGAACGAAAAGCATGCACCGTCACATGCTCCTTCGAAAAAGAACTAGTGTACCAAGACTACATCCTTTCTCCTATAATGTTAAGCTATGCCATAAACTTGGTAATGGACACTGCTTGTCGGCATCCAAGAGATGCAAATAAGTCCAGAGCATAATATCATAAACTTTGAATACGCTGATGATGTAGTCCTTTTTGCTGAAAGTTACAATGAAATGCAAATAAGTGTCAGCAACTGCAGCGAGAGTCGGGTTCAGGACCAATATAGATAAAACGAAAGACTTTTCGTCTTATGTGCAAGAAGCTGATAAAATGCCTCTTTTTGTATTTATTGCCGGTCCAGCTAGAAATGCGTTCTTCCGGGTTGACAAAACCTATATGGAGTCGTCCTGAAATCACCATAAAAACGAAAATTCGCATCTATCTAGCGCATCTATCCGTGATCCATTCGACCTATATATGGTTCTGAGACATGGCCAATGAGAGTGCAGGATATTAAGAAGTTATCTGCCTTTGACCACTCTTGTCTAAGGTACTTCCACGGATCCGTCGAGCGGACAAAATATAACATGATCGCACCCACTTTCGTTCAAATACCACTTGCATAAATAATGTTATCATAGAGCGTCGCCCTCGCTGGTTAGGGCACATTTTCGTCCATCACAAGACACATAGAGTTGACGCATATTTCGTTACTTGTTAAATTGCTTACGTGTGATTGAAGGCATCAAAAGCGAGGTGGACCAATCAAGACCAGTCATGAAAAATTTTAAACGTATAGGAGGCCAGCGATATATGGATTCAGATGGTGGAAAAATGAATGGTTCCTATTACTAATAGCAATGGTGTGGGACCGAGCATCTTGGAGAAATTTTACTCTTGTAGCTAGCGGAGCCAGCCTAACCAGTAATGGTGAGAACTATTAGAAGAAAAAGAAATCGCTGTGCTGTAAACTATTAACCCTGAAAGGGCTGATGGTAGTTAACGGATGAATCAAATTTTTTTAAATTTTTGATAAATTATTATGAAAAACAAAACAGATCCGTATTTTGTTAGAAATATCTGTGGTTTAAAACGTTTACAAAATTAACTTAATAAATTCTAAGAGCCATCAATGTAAATCGAAATCGACAAAAAGCAATTGGATGGCAACAGCAGTAGCAGAGGTAAAAAACGGAAAAACGGAAGGAAAAAGAGAAAAGAAAAATTATCATCCCCCTTTCATAATTTTTTGCTTTATGTGAAATCTCAACAATCCGAAGAAATTTTATAAAAAATCATCAGAAAGTAAATAAATTTTTGCAATACAACAAAATCGATGGAAGAAAGTAGATGCGCAAACTGATGATCACCAAAACAACGCCCTCATATTAACTAATATTCAATAATAATATTTAAAAAACAAATACAAAAAATCGACCATAATTGGAAAAAAATAATAAAATAATCTGATTAATATGCTTTTAAATTAAACCAACTTTATCAATAAAAAGTTCTATAACACTGAAATACAAAAATAATTGAATAAAATCTATAGGTTACGGAAATTATTTGATCGAAGCTCAACAATTATCAGCTCCTAGACTAACCACTATAAATAAAAACAGAAATTCAATTTGGTGAACCATTCCTGCATTCCTATAAATTTGGCAAATCCAAAAAGAAATTATTTCCATTTCTATTCTATTTTCCTTTCAGCATGTACAAAAAACACTACACTAATTCCGATTTACGCTCAAATTTTTGAAAAACGCATTTATAAATTTAAAAATTTGATCTGCGTGAACGAAGTTCACTTATAAACATAAACTTGAATCAAGTCGGTTCAAACAATTCTTAGTATCATTAATGCATCCATATATGAATGCAGTAAGCACAAAATACCATGAATATAATGAATGAATAAAATTAGAGCGTTAATAATAAAAAAACAGCGATAGCAATGATATATAACAAATATACTATGGTCACAAGCGACCTACAAGAGAGCTAACAGGAAAAAAAAATTTGAAATCAAATGGTTGATAACAATGATTTTTTTTTCAGTTATTTCGTCAATAAAAAATATTTAATCTGCTCTCAAAAAATCAGAATGATAAAAAAAGTAAAAAGTAAAATTAATTTTCAAATAATTATAGAAATCTCATATAAACAAATAAGATAAAAAAATCAATTTTTATAAAATTTATTAAAACGTTAAAATTTAATAAACATAGAACAGTTAATTTTAGGTTTTTTTTTCATTTGGAATGTAGAAAATCGATGTTTTATAATTAAACCTGAGCACAAAACCAACCATAACAGGGTAGACATTAGTTCAACAACTATTCAAATATAGTATATACGTTCATTTATCTTCAAAGATATATAAACGATTTGTTGCTGCTAACGCAATAATATTCTGTTTCGGATGCCAAACGGCATGAAGAATCTTTTTCGAATAGTCGAGTGATTCGGTGGTAACTTCTTCAACATTGTCGAAAGATTCAACACTGTTCGAATAAGTTCGTTTTCTAGTCTTCGAAGGACCAGAATTAGTGATGCGACGAAGAGGTAGCCGAACACCGGGTTTTTCAATATGTGCCTTAAAAGACGATAAAATAACAATCATTCTCAAACAGTTAATAATTTAATACAATTCAACAACTCTTTTTCAAAGTAATTTAATTAATATAATAGATAAAAGACCAAATTTTTCCTTTTTTTCATAAAAAGTATTTCTATGGATAATAACAAATCCGCAGACAACTTGATTTTTTTAAAGTATAGTTTTAACTGTTATTATTGAATTGAATTCAAATTAGATGATTAAATAAATAATTAGATAATTAAAATATAAATCCAAAAATTTTCCACTAAATGAAAAAACGAAATCAGTGGAAAACAAACTTCGAAAATCCTTGAGTTTGCCGAATCTTTGGAATATCTCGGGAATGTTCGAAAAAAATTGTTGTACGAACCAGTTAGAATATATCTAATACAATATATTTTATTTCCGCTTTTTATTAATGTAACCAATATTATTAACAAATGCTAATTGTTGAAATTACTCATTATTACTATTATTATTATAATTATTATTATCATTATGCGGAAATAAGACTAATGGTTTAAAAATATAGGCAAAGTGAGAAAAATATATGATAATAATCATAAAAAGCAAACATGAAAGAATGCATAAAATTAGAAAACTGTGCATAATTTTATATCCTTTTGAAAGTGCCTTCAAATTTATGGAAAAACTATTTGCTAGTTGCTATTTAATTATTATAATAATTTAACCATGAATGAATGAAAACAAGAAATCTTAAACAAACTTATCATCGCCGCTCCAGCATACTTCGAATTTATCAAAAATGAAATCACTCTCATATAAAGTGCATAAAATGCCGCGCAGATGTTCATGAACCTGATAAGTTTCTACCGGACCAGACTCCATATTGATATCCCATACCTATAAACAAAAAAAACAGAAATTTAAGTAAAGAAAAACCATAGCAGAAGATATGCTATCAGCTAATTATCCAATAGTAATAATAATAATGTGATTTCGGCAAATATTGTTACCTTTGCAGTGAAATAGTCACGAGTAAGAATATATCGCCCACTGTGTGAAAATCTTACATCAGATACGGAAGCAATAATTTCGGAAAAGAAAGAACGACTTGAAGGGCCTTCTGATTCTTCAAACACTGAAAATTATTAATAATTTACTGAATTGCAGCCAAATGGAAAAGAAAATTAAAAGTATAAAATCGAAGATAAATGTTCTGGTATAAAAAAATTAATAATGCATATTTCCTTTATTTAATTTTTATTTAGAAATTATAAATTCAAGAAAAAATGAAAAACATTCTCATCTTTACAATCATACGACCTTACAAAGTATAGAGCACAATCTATAATAAGCACCCTTTAAAATATAAAGGACATATAAGATTCTACTCCTCGACTGACCAAGTGGAAAGTGATTTTATGAAACGTAAATTACTTTTTTCTTCCTAAAAACACCAATAATTTTCAAAGGAACTCGAATCTTAATTAAGTAAATATAGAAAATTCTAGGATTTACTTTTGGCATGAGCGTCACACAATGCTCTATCTCGCATATCACATAATCGTATTGAACCTTTTGATGAGCTATATGCAAACAAATGACCATGGTTAGGGTGAAATTCGCTGGCAGTTATCACTTCAGTTAATTCCTCCATGTTCGCCGGCTTTATATCGACAATATCTAAAAAATTTAATAAAAATTTAAAAAATATTTAAAACATTTAATATTACTATACAATTTTATTACATATCTGTTATAATTATAATATTTCTAATATATTATGAATACAATGAAATATTAGATATTAAATCTCTGTGTTATGAAGCTTGAAACATAGATAAAAGAAAATTCCCTACAAATTTGAAAAAAAAAAAATGAAATATCCTACTAAAGCTTTCATTGGTGATTTCAATATGCCATAAATTGACTCGCAGGTCATCAGCCGACAAGAAAATATCCTGAAAAAATCCATTTAAAAAAAATTATATCACCTGAATAGAACAATTTTTTATATGCTTCTGCCATTTTTAAATAATATTTTGCAATTTTTTTACACTTTATCGCATTTAGCTGTTTTATTTTCAAAAACATTTGTAATGCCATTTTCTTCTTTTATTTGCTTACTTGTGGCACATTAATCATAATATTATTATAAATATTAAATTATTAACTATATGTAAACTTTCCACTTTCCATCAGTTAATCTTTTTAAATCTAGAAATTAAATTAAAAATTAAAAAAACTAACCTGATCTGAGTTCACACTAATCGAATTGATATGATAAGTATGAGCATTACCATAAACTCTCCGAGGAGATGCTTCAACGATAAGTTCCATAGGAACCAACCGAGGTAAGACCAAACGTCCAATGAAACCTTAAAAAAATCACCGTAATGCGGTATATTAAGCAAAAAATATTTAAATCAATAAGCTAATAAGCCATTTATAAATCAATAAGATCAAATATATTAACAGTGACGAAATACCTCCTCTACAGTTGTTGATCCCGGTCGCATCTCGTGGTATATTCCAATCTCCATCTGCCACTTTTTTTTCTCGCTCCGATATTTTCCATAGTTTTATTGTTTTATCTACAATTACCGTTAATGGCCAATTTCCAAATTTTAAACCCTACTAGCTATAAATTTTCTGAGCAAATGTGTGGGAGACAGTAAACTGAAAAAAAAATATCAAAATGAAAGAACCATTTGTTGATAGCAAAAAATTTGCAGCATTCTTCCTTTTTAACCATTTTATCTGATTGATTTTTTCTTCAATTTCTAGTGATTTTAGATAATCAAATTCAGGTTCATGAGATTGAAATGTTGAATAAACGTTATAGTCAGTTGAACGTTTACCATTTATAAATTTGCCCTGTAGTAGTTTCAACACATCATAAATAAAAAGTATGATTGTTTAAAAAAATATGAAACAAAAACCTAGAATCTCAAAAACCAGAGAGAAAATAAATCAAACAACTCACACTTTGGTCCCGCTGAAAAATTACAACACGTCCACCTTTATCACCCGTAGCTAAAAATTCTCCATCGTGAGAAAATTCGACGCAAGATATTATATCAGCTGAAAATCAGAAAGAAACGAGACGTAAATATACATATATCATATATGTACTAAATACTTTGGTAGGCACAGCATTAACCAACTATTCAAATAAATATTCGAAAATTATAGCAATTATAAGCATTTAGAACTTTTTCCAGCTCTTTTCTATACAAATTTAGGAAAAAATTTTAATCTGACTTATAATTAACAGAACAGAACTACTAACAGAACTTTTAAAATAGAATTAAGAGAAAAAATATATGAAAAGAGAGAACTTTTCATGAAAAATTGAAGAAAATATCGGCCAAAAAGTCAAAGAAAGAGGTTAAAAGGCTATTTATTGATACCTTCTTCAACCAATGATTGCAAAAATTCAGAGCCTCGATCAAAATAATGCTCACCATCACTAGACACCACTTCCTCCGGTTCAACATGTCCTTTGACTTGTGAAAATCGCCAAGCTAATTCATCATTTTCACCGTCGGAAATGTCCATTGATGTACAGGCTTGATGATCATCGGTATCCATTGAAGTAAAACTAAAATACAAAAATATAAAATCTAAAACGCTCTCTAAATAACACTTTTAATAAACCCGATGAATACGAGGGAAAACAAAACAAAAAATTTTATGGTTGGAATATATTTCAGACTACCATTACTACCATTTTATGTATTTATCATAGTTCATAAAAAATGAGTGCTTCACCATTTCCATAGCCGCTTGAGACGTCCTTTGGGTTAATTATAAACATAGATATATAGATATATAAAGTATATAAATATATAGACTCTCTTTCTTTTTTAAAAGTTTTCACCATTACTGGTTAAAATCGCTCCGCTGACTTGTCGCATTGGACAAATATGCCAGAGAGTCCCTCGGCGATAGAAATACAAGTGAGTCGCCAGCATAACCCAGATTTTTGGACAGGTTTACTCCTGTGGGAAATAGAACCTCAGTACTATTCGAATTGAACAATAACCTAATGAGCCATCCTATCCCCATATAGATGTAAAATATGCGCACATAAAAATATATATGTCAAATAACATAATACATAACCTCTAATTCTAATAACTCGAGTATTTATAGGCATATAGCATAGCTGGTCCCCTTACACCCTCAAAATCTCTGTTGATCATGTCCAACCGATTTTTGATTGGCTTTCTCACTTTTGAAAAGCGATCGCTTATTGCTAGACAATCGCAATGAAGCAAGGAAATGCCTGGTGCCCATAAATATATTTAAAAATAAATCATAAAGAATCAACTTTCAAGAAAAGATTCCACTTCGTGTTTCATAAAACTGCAAATTATTTTGTGGGAAAAAAGATATGCCGATAAATAATTTTTTTATTTCTCTAAATTCCGGCTTCTTCTATTTAATGTGGAAAAATGATGAAAATCGATTGAGGAAAACAACTTCTATATAATGCATAAAAATGTATGAACCATCGAGCATATGCGATTTAAAATTTTAATCATTGTAGACAAAATCCAATCCAACACGCCGATCGATATAAATCGATAAAAACAAAAACGATCACAAAAAGAAATGCATAAAAAGTTGAAAAGTAAATAAACCATTTGTCATAAAAAATATTGGTGCTTATGAGTTGTCTGATTCACAGCAATATTCAAGTTACTGTCAATGAAATAGCGAAATGCCAACCTGTTAACATTTAGCGGAAGAATGGAATAGAGTTCAAAGAATTTCGATCACCTCCAAACCTTTTTATACGACCTAAATACTCAAAATTTAGAGGATCCTCATCCATTATAAAATTATTCAATGAACTATGAAGCTATCGCTTCTCTTTTTCCCCTTCGTTAAAGTAGAATGCTCTTCGGCTTGAGATTTTGATAGAAATTACTTTTGCTAGTCATCGCACTGCGCTTTTTGCTCCTTCGCTTTTTTGTCGGCCGTTACGAAGGTTCATTAATAGTAAACAATTTCGTAAATGAAATCACTCTTATTTAATAGCCACACGATCTATCCTTCTTCTAGCAACTCGCATCACTGCTAGTTTGGCTAGCGCCGCTATCAATTCCGAGCAATAAACCTATTAAAGTAAAACCTGAGCGGTTATTGCGAACCCACCTGTACTCGATTATTTCCAAACGCCTCGCTGGCGAAACAAAAGTCTTAGTGAAGTCAACCAAGCGAGAAATGACATTAAAGTAAAGAAGGTATATGAAATAAAAACGAAAATTTACACGTAATAAATCCGACTTATAAATTCCATTCCAAAATTCAACTAAAAACAAAAAATAAATAAAATGATTTTTTATTTAGCAAAATCAGTGATAAAAAATATACCACAAATAATTTATCGATTGAAAAATATCACAAATAAGCGAATATTAACCGATAAACGAAAAAAATCCGTAAAAGAAGCAATGAAAATAATAACTTTATTTGCAAAAAAAAACCCTCCCCACACCGGTCAAAGCAACCACCCATCCTTATTTCCATTATAAATGCATCAGGAAATTACAACTTGGCAAGCAAATTACCGCGCAGTTGTTTTTATAGTAATCTTATTTTCGTTTTGAGATCCAATAATCATAGTTAAATTCAGAATCTAGAGTAAATCGCATGACCTGGATTTATTGAGCTGATAAGCTGGTTCCAAACATATTAATTTGATGGCGTAATCCGATATAGAACGAGTCGAAATGTCATCACTCAGTTGCGATCTGTCGAAGCAATCTTCGAGTAGCACTTAAAAATAATTAAATGAGCCATTAGTGAATAATTCAATGCCTTATCTTAATCAATTGTAAATCTGATAACAATTAGCGGTTAAATCAAACTACTCAACCAAATTAGACATAGTTTTTAATTTGTCAATCCTAGTTAAATGATCAAGGGAGAGGGTGATATGCTGTTTCAATTGATTTCTTGGCACGAGCGAGCGGAATTATGAATGAAATCTGGATTGTGTTGAAGGTCCAATCATATCTCTCATTTCTCTGATTCCTATATTTATTATAAACAAGAAATAGAAAGAAGGAAAAAGAAGGAAATTGCATGAAAATAAACCCATAAAATTGGCGTCGATATTCCCATGGAAATGATATTTTTGGTAATTTCAAATAAATTATTGGATATCAGTTTCAGAAATAAATAGAATACTTTTATAGTTCTATTCTATTCGAATGAAATCGCTCTTTATTTGTATTTATGAAGGTAGCTGAGGCGATAAAATAAACCTCTTAGGAAAATATTCAGTGATAACAAAAGGGTATGCAATCAATTAGCAAGCTATAAGACATCCGAAATAAAGATCAAAAGGACAACTAAATGAAAAAGACTTCTTTAGATATGATGAAGTCGACGGACTGAATCTGTGACCGGTCACAATTATTGCATAAATTGGCAGGAAGCAAGTAATGAGACATAACAAAAGACCGTACTCAAACGAGATCCAAAAGAAAAAGCAGTGAATATATATGACACGAGTCTGAAAAAGTGATCGTTCAATATTTGTCTCAAAATACATTTTAATGATAATGATAAAATTAAAATTCGTATTTCAGCCGATAGTTGAACCTACTTGGTGTATCAACCTTATCAAGGAGGGATTGCTTGAATCGTTTACCGATTCTTTGAAGGAGAGTTAGATCCCTTGAGTCATCTGGATTTCTCCTTTAATGAAAATCCTTGTCAAAGTGTAGAGGAGAACCATGATGTTTGAACTCTTAGCTGAAGCATTATTAGTTATCATTAGTCATAATTTTGCGAAATATTTTTATTATAGTCGAATGTTTCAATAAAGTTAAAATGTGGAAAATTGAATATTGAGATTTTTTATTTAAACATTATGAATTAAATTACAAATTATATTTATCTCATTTGATTTCGAAAGAAGCTATAAACGAACAGTTCTAATAGTTCTAATAGAATTGTTCTAAAGAAAAGATGAACCCGGACCCGGCTCAAACACGAGTTTATTTCCAATTTTTTCACATTTCGAAAATATCTGAGAGGGCGGGAAAGCAGAGTGGATGATGATTTGGATTCTTATGCTGAGAAAAAAGGGTTCAGTTCCTGCGAAAGATAGAACTAAATAGTAAGCGTGGCGAGCCCAACCAGAAATGATGAGAGTTAGCCATTTATTTTAAGCTATTAACAATTTATAACTTACGTGGACTCCAAATAGTGGTGCTGGCTTAGGGGATCCATTCGACCCATCTCCTTTTCCATCACTTGAACATCCTATCTCCAGTGATCTAATAGTAAACGGATAAGAATTTAATTCCTGAGAAATTCTTTGGAATTGGGGCAGAACATCGCCTAACACATGTATTATATATATATAAATATATAATATATATATTATATATATATATATATATATATATATTATAAATACCATCTATATTAATATTGCTACCACAGAGAATGGCTTTTGCTGGTTAGAGCAGTTCTTCGTTATTCACTACAGAAGTTGATACAAATTTCGTTACTTGCTAAACTCTGTGACGGATGCCGTCAAAAGCGAGATGAACCAATTATAACCTGGACTGATACAGACAGGAAAGATTTTAAATGTATAGGTGAACCAGTAATATATGGACTGATGATGGAAAAAGGAATGGTTTCTAATAATGCTAGCGTTGTTGACGGACTGAACAGCGGGCCTCCCTAACCACTAATAGTGGCAGGTATGAGAAGAAAACATTTCATTACCTCGTATATCAAAAAATTATCGAAACAGAAAGGGAAAATCCTTTAAAAAGAGATTTTAGTTTAAAAAAGCTTTGCGCTTTCTAGATAATCAGAACTCATAGATGCTTGGATATTGGTCATAAATATTTGGATATGGAAACTGATTGCGATTGAGTTATAAGGCGTTTTTTAATTAATTTTAGTAGTTGCCATATATCATTGAATGATCAATGTTCTTTACATTAATTATGAAGTGATTAACGAGAAGCAATGTTACATGTGTAAATCTCAATGAGGTGAGATCTGCTCGATGGCCATTGACCCTTTACAATTGCCATCTCATGTTAATGCAATTGTTTCACTGGATGCGGATTACAGAGGAAAAAAATGCATGCAATACTGCTTTATTTATAATTTATAAAATTCTCGAAAGCAGCCTAGCATTTATTTATTTTCCTTCCTATTTAGTAAAAAGGATTTATTAAATTTGTATTCACCACAGTCCATATTTCACGATTCTCAGAAATATGGATTTAAGCGTGATATATAATACATATAATAATATACATTTCAAAAAAAACTGATATAAAAAAACTAACATGCATCGAAATAATCGCTATAAATGGTATTAATGATGATAATAATGGATAATAATGGATTAAAGAACGATAATGGATGGTCATGGATGGAGGGAACAAAACGGTAGAGTGGTTGCTGCTTAAATCATCATGCCAATTATCCTGGTTCAGTTTTCGCCCCTGCCATTAAAAAATACAGGTGCAGTGGGATGAGCCTACGTAGAAAAATGCGTTGGTCCCACTAAAATTAAGCTAAAATGGAAATTTAAAATTTAA